ACAAAATTAAGGGTCTGGAAGAATATATTTTTAATATCTAAAATCAAGCAAGGTATTACTGTGTGGAATACATGCCTTCAAATCAACACTACCAACAGAAGATGCTAAACTTGATAAAAGAAAAAAGAATAAAGGGGTACCTGGGTGGTTCAGTTGGTGAAGCATCTGACTTCGGTTTAGGTCATATCTCACCGTTCCTGAGTTTGAGCCCCACATTGGGCTCTGTCCTGATACTCAGAGTCTGGAGCCTGCTTGAGATTCTGTATCTCCCTCTCTCTGCCCCACCCCTACTTTCACTCTGTCTTTCAAAAATAAACATTAAAAAAAATTAAAAACAAAAAAAGAAATAAAAATTTAATTTGGTAAAAAAGAAAGTGGTTATGAGGAGTGATTCCATGTTTTTGGTAATTAGAAAAAATTGTTATTAAAACTATCATGTGATATAATTTTATACCATCACATTGACAACAATGAGAAAGTGAGAGAATTTCAGCTGCTGGTGATGGGTGAAATATGGAACCATTTGGGACTCTGCTGGTGAGATGTAAACTGACACAGACTTTCTGGAGAGCAGTCCATCAGATTTAGTGAAATTAAGTGTGCATTAGTCTAATATCACTGCTGGTTTTACTCCCCACCACACAACCTGACAGCCTGGAGGAAAACTCATGCATCGAACCATATGGTGGCAAATGGAGAGTGTTCTTTTTAGTATTGCTTTACACAAGCAGAGAATTGAAAGCAGCCTACATATCCCACAAAGGTGATAAATAAAGTAAATACCGTGAGTTCTTTAGTGGAATATAATGCAATAGAAATAGTGAATGAGAGTTGTACACAGCTAAATGAATACATTAAAAAAACAAAGGTTAATGGAGAAAAAAATATTAAAATGCTAGGTCATTGTTCTCCATGTGAATTATATCTGCATAAAATAAACTATATTCTACTATACTATGTTTTTTTAAAGGAAACTTCTAGGTCTCAGGTCATGTATTAAATACTTTATAGTGCCTGCTTATGTGTGGATGAAGAGGATGGATGAAGAGACAATAATTGTTCAAAATATTAGGAAGAAACCAATATTGCAGAGATGATGGTTATGTTTTCTCATGAATTTCAGAGTACCTGAAGTTAAAAAAAGTTAAAAAAATTTAATGAGCATACCCCCATAATCGCCATTCCAAAGCTTCAGTCACTATTGTTTCTTTGATTACTCAATGTTCCTTTGTTGAAAATTGCAAGCAAATTGAATCTTCAATTCTTCACCCTTGTTGGTAAAAGATTTGTCTGTTCAGCTAAGTAAGAAAAACAGGCTTCTTCAGTAACCTCCATGCTGATCTCTGTTTACTCTTGATCATTAAACAGTGTTTTACTCTTTCTAATTAAGGTTTTCCCTAATGGAGTCGCCTTAGTGTAGGTCAGCTGAAGTTCCTTTAACACGATGAATTAGGAATAAGCAAATAAATCTTTATGTTTTTCTTTTTAAGTTGCTATTGTTCATAATCTCACATCTTCAAATGGCAAGCTTATGTATCTGTTTTCTTGCTAAATAATTTATAATCCCACATATTCTACACAATTAATAAGTGAACAGGAAACATTCTAGAGTGATCCTGTGCAGTCTCATAAAAAAAAATAGTGCCAATTGTAGTTCTTTTTCCAATGTACAGTACCTAGGCACATTATGGTAAGATTGGCATAGCAGGAAATATAGTTTTTCAAAATATTGACCAAATCAAAGAACTGTCATGTAACATTCTTTTCCTACTGACCTATAAAGGTGTTGTTGTTTTTTTTTCCTAAATCCATTTGATTTGTGTTGTCTAAAGTGCTGTTTCCTTCCTCTGGCCTTCTCTCTTAACTTTGTGACTGTCAAGGGGGGATTTACTTTGAATGTCTCTACAACTTGATTGATTAATACGATGATATAAGTTAGGTCAGAAACTGCCACACAGTCTGATGTATTGATTGCACTATCAGTTGCTATACTAAAATAACATTATGTGGAAAGACCTAGGTCGATTTTTCTTTTAATCTGAACCCATAGTACTGTGAAAGCAATGAAGGAGGGGGAATCTCCCTTGAACTAGCAAGCATTATGTACTATGCAACAATAGGAATGATACAGCTAAGGAAAATTTTTAATTTGATCAAGAAATACAGCCATCTGTAGGAAATTTCACAAGGCAGGGCCTGGGTAGGAAATGTCTTCAGGCTCACATGAAAATGAGGTCATTGTCTGATGAGCCTTCAAACAATTAGGATGTTAAAAACTAAAAATCTACTTTAGGAATATGATTTCGGCTCCCTGATTATCCTAAGGTACGGGAGAGGTGACAATTTGTCTAGAAGAGGAAGAATGGAATTTTTATTTGAGGAGGAAGGGAGCTATCAAGGTGTCCACACTGACCTACCAATGTTAGTAAGGAAATTAAGCCTTTGTTTTCTGCTAGGGGTAGCCTTCATTTTTGAGATCAAATGTTAATGCCACCCTGATTTAAAAATTTGATGGAAACCTTTTGTAAGATGCAAGAAACAACATTCCTTCAAAGTCAGGAACATCTTTAACTAGAAATTATAGTGTCTGTATCTAACAGTCTTTCTCCTCAATGTTGACTGGAAGCAGAGAAACAAACTAATCACTTTAAAAAAAAATGATTCCCTCTACTACTTATTTCCTAAAGGAAAAGATATGGTTTGAACTCTACTCATTTCACAATGATTTAAAACTAAGAATTGGAAAGATGGCTCAGCTCCACACCATTCAGTTTTTGCTTTCACAGATGAACACTTAGAGGCAAGTAAATATATCTAGAGTAGTTTTTTTTTTTTTTTCAAATTTAGTATAGAGATGGAGTCCTGTGGTATAAAAGAAGTATAAGACAGAAGCCAGTGTACGTAAAACAGAAAACTGTAGAAGTTCTATGAATAAAGCAGCAAGAGATAGAGTCTGTGAGCTGCTCTGTTCATCTACTCTCATCCCTAACCCAACCTCTTCCCCTCCTCCCCCTAGCAAATGAAACCTCAAGGCTTTTCTTTACATAATACAGTTTTGCAAACCACTGGTCTACATTGTGTCATAAAATACTCATTCCTGTTTTCTCAAATGTGATGCATGTTTTCCTAACTTAAATCTTAAGTGATAGGAAATCAAGATTCTAATATTCTAGAGAACATCAAAGACATTTATGATATTTTATTCTGCTAATCACCCTACAATTATTTTGAATAAATCGTGCTTTATACAAATAATGACATGTTTTTTCTAGTAAGGTTTTCCCCCCATGACACAGCTACCTATTTTGTCTATAAATCATATTCAAGCCAGCCCCTTGCACACTGTAGTTCTTGTCACAAAAGGTATCCTAATGCTTCCTTCAGACCTGAACTTACAGAGGAGGCAGCCCCTCAGCCCTGTAGCACTTGGCTAATTTTCTCTCATTCCCTAAAGACTATTATCTGTGTAGATATTATATTTTAAATATCTAAATACATCTAACTATAGAATAGAATCTATAGAATATAGATAGATGTATAGAACATAGATTTTATACACACACATTAATTTCTGAAGCTTTCATGGCTATTTTAAGTTTGAATTCTATGACTACAACTTCTGACTTAGCAAAAAAATTATAATCTTTTATGGATATAAGAATTAAAAACTGATATTAGGAGAGGAGGTTGTAATGATGACAAAATTAGTAGCTTAAAACAATAAAAATATCTTGCCTCAGTGTTCAGGAGACTAGAAGTCTGAAGCCCAAGTGTTAGCAGGACCATGCATGCTTCCTCAGTGACTTCTTATGGAGGTTTTGCTTTTTGTCTCTTCCAGCTACCAGTCACTGACCTGGCATTCAGCCTCCCTCCAGTCTCTGCCTCTATGATCACTTTGTTTCTACATCTTAGGTCTGTGTCGTCTTCTCTTATGTCCGTCTCAAATCTCCCTATATATTTCTCTTATAAGGATACTGGTCATTGGATTTAGGGTCTACCCAGATAAATCCACATGATCTCCTCATGTCAAGATTTTCCATTTAATTTTATCTATAAAGACCCTGTATTCAAGTAAGGATGTAACACTTTTTATTATTAATTAATTTTTAATTAAAAATTTTTTAATTAATTAAAAAATTATTAACTAATTTTTCACATGTTCAGCCTAATTGGATGGTTCTTCCACTTCCCCCACCCTCCTCGCAAGTACATACCCAGTTTGAGGCCCCTGTCATCAGTAGTATTAACATTTTATATTTTCCATTGATGCAGTTAACAAAATAATAATGAAATATTTTTGTGATTATTTGATTAATCTATGGATCATAATATTTCAGGGCAAAGACTCTGTCCCTTACCTTGTCATTGTGTTCCCAGTATTTAGCAGATTATATGTCACATACCGTGAATTCAACAACCCATTTCAGGATTTAATCAATAGACAGAATAAATGGGTAAACTGAGAACAGGTGAACAGACGATTGATTGGCTGGAAGAAATAAGTTGTAAACAGAGACAAAGACTAGGGAACAGAGATACAGGAAGATTGTCCTTTGACTAATGGCTTGAGTTGTGGTAAGTGGACAAGTCAAGAGATTGAGAAGGCCATAGCAGATTATGTAGCTGAGAAAAATCTTACTAAATTTCTTTATTCAGAGGTGAGTTTAGAGATCACATTTCTATGATTTGTTCTCCTATTGTTTGTCCTAGACATAATAAAAACAGTTTCTCATCCTCCTTTATTTCTTTTTTTTTTTTTTAATATTTTTTATTTATTTCCAGGAGGGAGAGAGAGAGACAGCATGAGCAGGGGAGGGTCAGAGAGAGAGGGAGACACAGACTCTGAAATTGGCTCCAGGCTCTGAGCTGGCAGTCAGCACAGAGCCCAACACAGGGCTCGAACCCACGAACCGTGAGATCATGACCTAAGCGAAAGTCGGACGCTCAACTGACTAAGCCACCCAGGCGCCCCATCATCCTCCTTTATTTCTGAAACACAGTGATCTCCTCATCTCTGATATTACCTGGGAACAAAAGGAACTGCAGCTACATGAGGAGGGACTGCAGGTACCCCTCGAATGGAGTGAAATGTGCCACTGTCAGGTATGTTCAAGTCTTGTGTCTGTCCCCAGTATGATCAACACTGTCCTACTGAAGTCATTAAACTTTACAAAGCTTTGCAATTTTTATCATGCTTGGTTGTGAAGAACCATGAATAGAATGAATAGTCTCATTTTTTCTGCTGAGGATTCTAAAGCTTGGAGATTTAGTAGGTGGAGTATATTAAGTCTGGGACTTAAATTTACATACATGGCTCTCAATCTATGTGCTCTTCATACATGTCTCACTCACTATGTTTCCCTGTATCTTCTTTCATGATGTAATTGGCTGAACTACAAAAAATTACTGTTTTTATGGGTCAAAGGGGCCAAATTTGAGCAGTTCACCCAATAAAAACTAGACCTATAGCAGGTTGAATATACCTCTCATATTCATAGATAATAATTTGAAAAATTCCACATTATTTTTATTTTAGTAAGAAGAATAACAAAGAAAAATAAAAAATATGATGATGGGGAAATGAGATGTATTTTATCACAGTTAAGACTAATTATATGAGCAGTTAGGCTAGACACCTCTCCAAAACTTGTGCCTATCCATTGCTCTTTTAAAACTAATCTGGACCTATGCTACTTGATATTTGAAACATAAATATGTTACTTACCACTTGGTATATATAGGGTATTTGTGAAATGATGCTCAATGCTGACTATTGGAAGAATCTCAAGTTAAATGCACAGAAAATATGTCAAATAACATAAACAATTCAAGAATTAAAAACACCCAGAAAAGAGTATGCTTTGGAGAAGTTTAATATGCAAAACTCTTATCTTTGAATTCAGTAATGTGAATATTTGTATCTGTGTGTGTATTGTCCCAGATTTCATTATGAAAATCCTTCAGTCTGCTGATCCTCAGCGATATGAGATGACATTCTTGGGTTAGTAATTCAGGATAGTTTTATAGACTCTGAGTAAAAGCAGAGTCCTCCAAAATACAAAAGTAAATACAGGAGTCAATAAAATGACAATGTTAGGCAGCAATACAATCGATAAAGTGAATTCAAATGAAATGAAAACCAATCTAATTATTTCACAGGGCTTTATATTAACCTATTTTTATATATTTACCACGGTGCTGAAACTAATTATATGATTAGAAGCAACATGTATATTTACTGTTATATTACCTAAATGTATATAGCCCTGTTGAATCTAAATACAAAGAATGATTTTCCCTCCTCCAATTAATATTTTGAGATACAAAACACGCCTTTGTTTTTTCTGATTGACAGCCTCAATTTTGGACATACATTCTAACTAATGGAATGAAAATTGCACTACATGAATCAATTACAGTTGTTCAATTGTCTATTTTGTAGAGTGAGAACAGTTTAAATTTTATATGATTTCATTGTGTATGTGTCATGGTATCTTAACTGACAACACTACCATTTGGTAAATTTGGTTTTAATGAGGAGCTTATCTGAATGCACACAGCCCTATCCAATTGCTCATTTCCTATCTATTGTTATTGATGGAAGAAACAGATCTTTATTAATATTCACATCTTCATACTTGCATTTGACACAAGAGCTTACTTGTGAATTGAATAGAGTCTTCAAACAATGCCATATAGGTGATATCTGTGTGGTTCTAAACAAATGAATTACAGCTGTATCCCTAATATGATCTCTCCCCATTCCTAAAAATAATTTAAAAAGAAAAAAAAAAAAACACCTAAAGTCATTGTGTTGATTCAGTGGCCAATAACATGCCTTAAATATTCTACTTCAGCCTTTTCCAAGTTCATGGACACTGGCATATTTTACATAGCAGTTTTAAGGAAACTAAAGAGAATTGACAGCCTTTACTTCTTCCATATGTCTAGTTGCTCAAACCAACTGATATGAAGTGGACAAGCCCAGAGATAAATGCTACACAAATACTACCAGCCAGTTTTCAGCTAATGGAATCACAATTTAAAGCAGGCTTAGTCTTGACCTCAAGAGTCTCAAAATGCTATACTGATGAAAGTTTTCCTACAATCAGAGAAGCAAGACTTGAATGTTTTCACCACTATGATTTTCATTTGCAGTTTTTTCTTTTGCATTTTGAAATTTCTATTTTATGGCTAATAAAGTATAGCTCTAATTATCCATAATGAAATAGTTCCCTTATAGAAAATGATGGAATTTTTCTCAGTGATAATATTATGGAAAACTTTTTATCAATGCTCTAGATTTCTAAATTTACCACTGTGAGTGTGTGTTTATTTAGTAAAACTGGAGAAACAAAAAGTTATCTGTCAGCTAGAGAATGGAAATATTAAAATAAAATAGAGAAAGAACGAGGGAGGGAATAAGGAGAAAACAAGAAGAGTAAAGAAAAAAATATTGAGAAATTTGTTGAAGGATTGTTGATTTTTCATCTGTTTATTAGTGTTGTCCTGCCACTAATGGTGTGGATTTCAGTCACTTCACCTGTTAAGAACAGTTTCCTCATATCTAAAATGATGAAGCCAGATAGGATGGTCTCCAGGATCCTTGGAGCTCTAACATTAAGTTCATGTATTGATTCAACTTTCTGCTATTTTGTTAAAGTTGACTCTTCTAATTTCTTGCATCATTCTAGTGACTATTTAGAGGCATCAGCAACAGAAATTCTACAGTATCTTTATCTAAGTGCTACAATTGATGTTAGGAATTGATATTTACGTAGCATTTCAGACCTAGGTAGAACCAAATGTAGTTCCATTAATAATAGCTGACTCAGGATGGCACAGATAAAAATTGGCTGACATACACTTTCAATCCAAAATTCCTGTCACCCAGTGCTACTTCTATAGTATGTTGCCCTTCTTTCATAACAATGAAGCAAGAACTACCAAAATATTATTTCTACTTACAAATATTGTTTGTCATACTTGAAGTTAATTAGAAAAATATTATTTTTCTTGTACAGCGCAAAAGGTTGAGCTACATTACCACTTTAAAAAATGAAATATAGGAGTGCCTGGGTGGCTCAGTCAGTTAAGCATCTGACTTTGGCTCAGGTCATAATCTCACAGTTTGTGATTTCAAGCCCCGTGTTGGGCTCGTGCTGATAACTCAGATGAAGCCAGGACCTGCTTCATATTCTGTGTCTCCCTCTCTCTTACAATCCCCCACTTACAATCTCTCTCTCTCTCTCTCTCTCCCCCACAAATAAATAAACATTAAAAAATTTAAAAAAAGAAATACAGTATTTGGGGACCTACTGATTTATAGTTCATTTTCTAGCATATAATCACAAAATCTCTTCTAGAATTATTTGGAAATCAATTCCTGTATATGTGCAATTTGCTGATGTACATAGGGAATTTCATTTTTCTTTATTCACAATAAGTATTTGCCATGTTCTACATAAGCTGTATTATTGAATTTGATATAAATGATAATTAGAAAACTCCACAGGCCACATTTGGTTTTCATAGTCAGTACCTAAAATAAATAACAGAATAGATCATAACTAGAAAAAATATTGTTTTGTATATAGGAAACATTATTTTGAAAATTAGTATTCAACACTAAAATGCTCATATGGAACTATAAACCATGATGGACCAGCAGTCAGGAAAATATATATAGATCACAATAATTTTAAAATGTCAATGGGCACACACATTTTGATATATCACAGAATCCTCAGTGCATAACAAAGCATCAGAACAATGTCTTTTCCTCAGGATCCCTATCCCTTCCAGCAGTCATGTAGCATGAATTTATATGAAGAAACAGAACACCTTTGAGAATTAACCATTGTAGAAATGACTTTCAGAAGTTTCTCTCATTAAATTTAATTTGTGTGTTACGTGACTTGAGCTGGAACTTTAAATTTGACTGAAACACCTAGAAATTTAGACATAGTTTTTGAATGCTGGTTTTTTCAAGTTAGTCTCTTCTGCTTTTCTAAAGCATGACAGAAGATGAAATTCTAATGGTCAGGAGGTGGTTAAAATTCTTTTAAAAAATGTATTCCCTTAGTCATTTTTAATTTGCTTCTCAGTGTAAATCAACGTTCTAATGTAAACTAAAAGATAACTTTATTTTATATTGACTATTTTATTTATTTTGCAATCAAAACTCATGTTATGCAAAATGAATTATTAATTTAGCAGTTACATTCATTTATTCATTCATCCATTTATTTACTAAGTCATTTAACATATGCTTTTAAGTATCACCTCTTGTGCCAGATATTATCAGAGCAATAGGAAGAGAAGAGTGAACAAAACAGTCAATTCCTTATTCTCAGGAAATTTACAATCTAGTGGAAAAAAATGAAAATAAACAACAGTATCATGAGGTGATAAATTTTGTCAATAAAAATGAAACAGGACTAGAGTAGAGAGTGATTGAGTGAGAATGCCATTTTTCATAGGGAGGCAAAAGAAGGCTTTTCCAATATGAGAGCATTTGAAAAGATGAGGGGACAAGTTATAACAAACCCATGAATATAATCTGTGAAATGCTACTAATCAGCATAACTTATTATCTCTGTGAAACTCAAGAATTAGCAAAGAATTATTCTTGTGCAGATCAAGTGAATGGATAGATTGGTGGTTCTAAGATTTTATACATTGAAAAGTGAAATTGGGATGCCTGGGTGGCTCAGTGGGTTAAGCTTCTGACTCTTGATTGCAGCTCAGGTCATGATCTCAGGGTCATGAGATCGAGCCCCGTGTCACGCTCCGTGTTGGGCTTTGTGTTGGCCTCTGCACTGAGCATGGAGCCTGTTTAAGATTCTGTCCTTCTGTCTGTCTTTCTCTGCCCCTCTGCCCCTCCTGCACTTGTGTGCACACACACTATCTCAAAAAAATGAAATTGAACACTTAAATATATTTCACTTCCTTGATTATTTCAGATTTTCACAATATCCAGTTAACTCAAGGTATAATAAAAAAATAAAAGGCATATAATTTTGTATCAAAATCAGGGAAGCAACTTTGTTACTGGAATGAATGAATGAATGAATGAATGAGTGAGTGAATGACTAGAGTTG